TGATCCTGTATGGTTTGACACCTTTACAAATAATCCAGAAAGGAAATGTGAGGAATAGACTCGGAGTTTTTCTATACAGGATTTAATTAAATTTAGTCTGGACTAGGAATGTAGAGTGTTCTGAAGTGCAGAATGACAAAAAAGAAAGAAAAAAAATAGATGAGTAAATGGGAAAGCATCATGGTAGGTGGAATTTAGTATTATAGATACAAGTCAGGGAATCATGGGGTTCTAAAATGACTGCCAATACTAGAGATACACAAGCATTACTACAGATAGATCACCTTGCAGAGGTAGTCTTCTCCTGCTACAGAATAAAGCAAAGCTAAAGGTGTAAACTAGAAGACAGATTATAGAAGGAATGAAGTAATGAGTAATGCGAAAACTCAATCATTTGTTTAAGAACATACATACTTATTTGACATTGGCTTTTCTAAGGAAAAAATCACCAAACTAAACGTTATTTTAAGAAAAGCAAAGAAACACAATAAACACCCTACAATAAAAATTGAATGCATTGTAGGTGTTTACCTAAAAAAATGAGGCAAACAGAAAGGGACAAAATAAAAATATATAAATAGAATGATTTTTTTAAAAAAGATTATAAATTAAAAAATCTATTAAAAATTAAAAGAGAAATTGAAGCTCAGAGAAGAAACACTTTAATGCAAAATGTAATTAAACTGTGTAACTTGGGAAGTTCTTGAGATCAAATTTGAGTCAAAAAATGACTGAGTTTCAAGAATACAGACTTGTTACATCACACATTTTTGAGAGATTACTCCCCTTTGAGATATTACTCCCCTTATTAAACAAATTAATAATTACTGCAGATGTATCTGAAAATTTGTGTGTATGGATGTATGTATGGAGGCACAGGGCGTGGGGGAATTTTACTCAGAAATTTCTCTTGCAGAGATCTTACAGCCCTGAGAATTGCCTGATCTGTCTTTTGATGGAGACAAGTAACTGGATTAACGACCCTTGGTCTGATGCCTATATTAAACTGCTATATTTCCTTATGCATATGAATCTAGGCTGCAATCTTATTTTAAAAGGCTGCATTTATAGACACCTTTTACAATTTCATAGTGGCATTTTCAGGGCGTTATATTTGGAATTCTGTTGTCTCCAACTTCCTTTTGACAACCCGAAGAAGCCTTCTAGACTGTTTATTTTGGCTGGCATTTTCTTCAAACTTCTTTTTCAAGAAAAGAGAGATCCCTGCAGTCAATCAGCTTTTGTATTCATTTATTCAGGCTGCTGTGAAGAAAGCTATCTTGCCAACTGGAAAGGTATGCAGGGAATCCTTGCCTTATGTGCCAAAAAGGCATCTGCAGATTGTCCTGGATTGTCATCTTGAACATCTTAAATGAATGAGATGTTCCCTGTTGATTCTTCCCTTGAGGAGTTATTGAAATAAATAAAATATCTCCCAGAGGATCCCAGTAAATGTATGTTAAAAACAAAACTAAAACAACAACAACAACAAAAACCTTTAAAAAGAAGAGAAAAATTACGTAAATTTTATTTTCATTAACAGAAAAATATAATTTTGCCACATTAAGGTAAAGCCTTATTTTTTTAAAGTAATTGGATTGATAGGGCCCAGATTTTAGCATTAGCTAACCATATTAGCGAGACTTTGTGCTCCTATTTTCCCTTAAAGCCAGTGGACATCCTTTTTTGACACGGTACTTTCTTTACTCAATTTGTTTTGAACTGGATATGATCAAAACATAAACCTGAACTTTTCTTATGAGTCTATAACTACCAATGAGTTCTTGTGGCATAACATGGCTCAGATCTTTACCTTAATTTATGCTAGAAAGATACAAGACAAATGGAAGTCACATAAGTGAGAACTGCAGATCCGAGCTGATCAGTAGTGGAAAGAGAGGGTTTTTGATACTACTGGAGCCTTCAGTTTGTCTCTCCAAGATGGCATCTAATAATTGCCTAAAAGCAGTTAGACACAATTAAAAACAGAGCTAGAGCAAACGAAATGTTACACACCAGTTTGACTGCTTACATAATTTCAACTATTCAAAAAAAAAAAAAAAAAGCAATAGTTGAAAAAGAGCTATTTTTTTGTTCTCTATCAGGGACAGTCCCATGTTTTTGATGTGTGGCCTTCACAGTCACTGCAGATTGAAGCAAACATGCCGACTGTCCACATCTTTCCTATCTGTCTCTTTCTCCTTGACACACTGTGTTGCCCCAGGCTGCTTTGTGTTGGCTGTCCTTGTCTTGCCTCCTTGTTTCCTTGCTGATCTTAAAATCCTGTCTTGGGGTGAAAGGCTTTTCTGCTTTGTCATTGATAGCTCTTGATTCTTCCCTCTGAACCAGGGGAAATAGCAAGAGGAAATAAATGGACAATCATCTGTCTCAGGGTATCTTTATTTTTTATTACTATTTTTTGAAGGCTGGAGCTGACAAAAATTCTCATGTAACTGGTCACATTGTAAAGAAAAAGCTGGAGGGCTGGTCTTCAGTCAACACTGCTCTATGAAAAAACACACCATCAGTTGCGCTTATATAAATTCTTATTCTTTAGATAAAACATACATAAGAAACCTTTCAATCTCTAATAATTCCGTACTTTAAACACTGAAATAATTATACACTTATCTCCTGTGGGAATGAAAAAATCAATCTCGAATTCTAAGTGTATCAAATAGACCACTATTTGAATTACAGCAAAAAGCTACATATGGAAGAACCTCTATTTTTCAGGAACTTCGCACTGTCATAAAACTGGCCCCTGACTTCCACAGGTATGAAAGATCCAATTCTCCTTTCACACAACCATAAATCAAATGCTTCCAGTGAAGGTAATGGATTTAAGATATATAAAGTTAAAACTTAAACTTAAAAGTGCAATTCTGTGAAACAGAGGTTTTTTTCTGGTGATCCCTGAGTGATTACTTGTGACAGCAGTCACCATATTTACTCTTGCAAATGGCAAATCATTTCTCTCTATTCTGGAGGTGAAATGGCTTGGGAGGAGTCACAAAGTAATAACAATCTTGAACACTTATGCAAAGCTTCACATTTCAGAGTGCTTCGGAAATATAAACCAATTAAGTTGTCATTATGATTTATACTAAGGAAGACAAGAAATGTATAAACAAAGTCAAAAGAGAAGCTACAGTTCTGCAAATTACAAATCATTAAAACAGGGATGTAGAGCAGGAGGGGACCAGACTAATCCTGGAAAAGAGAAGATAAAAGCATAAAGCTGACCGAGTAAGAGCTAATGTGTTATTACTCACTTATTGGTGAAGGGTCACTTCTTTTTATTAGCAAAATAAAACCCTTAAGTAAACCACTTGGGCCATTGATAACTGAAAGCATCTATCAGTTCCTAGCTCATTAATGACTCTTAAGATAATCGATTTACAATGCAATCACACCCAGATCTGTAAATTGATAACAAAAGGGCAATTAAAATCAGTGCCCACACCAGACCACTGGATGATTTAAGGAGGAGTATCTATACTACTGGTTCCTTTTAAAAGTACATTGTTAAGATCAGGAGCATAAATGTTAATTAGCGTAATGACTTCATTCAGCGATTTCTTTTCTATGGGGCCATTTGGACCAGAATCCAGCTCCTCTGCTTGAAAGGGCGAGGTCTTTTTAATTAGGAGAGCTACACCATGGGTTCTAGTAATAAGTGAGGGAAGAGATAAAGGTCTCGCCCAACAGGAGCTTTCTTTTTTTTTTGTTTCTGCGTATCATTGAGTATTTCAGAAACTTCAGTTTTATGCAGCCAAAAAAAAAAGAGTACAGTCCTAATTTTTTTAATGTCAATGTGCATCTTTTGAAAACATTTGCAGCGCAGATATTCTCATAAGGACACTTTTGGGATAGATTCTCCTCCTTGCATGCTTGATTGTGCACAGCAGTAGCTTTGGGTCATTGCTATTCCACTGGATCATCCCCCTAAGGCAAGGGTCTGTGCCAGAGTGAGACTAGTTAAGAGAAAGCTTCAAAGACTATTTAATTTCAAGCCGT